ATGCTAAGGAACTATAAAGACAGCTACCTGGCCAATGGACTGGAAGAGATCCATATTTGTGCCCATTCCAAAGAGAGGTAACCCAACGGAATGCATTATCATTAATACCACATGCAAGTAAATTTTTATAGAAGATAATTCAAAAATGACTTGGAAACTGCCAGAGGTTCAAGCTGGGTTCAAATGAGGACGTGGAACAAAGGATATCACTGTTGATGTCAGATGGATCTTGGCTGAAAGCAGAGAATACCAGAAAAATGTTTACCTGTGCTTTATTGATTATGCAAAGGCTTTCAACTGTGTGAATTATGACAAGCTATGAATAGCATTGTGAAGAATGGGTACTGCTCATAAGGAATCTGTTCATAGAACCAGGGGACACTGAATGGTTGAAAATCAGGTGTGAGCCAGGGTTGTATTCTTTCAACACATTTATTCAATCTGTATGCTAAGTAGATAATCTCAGAAACTGGATCACATGAAGAAGAACGTAACATCAGGATTGAAGGAAGACTTGTTAACAACCTATGATAAGCAGATGATAAAACTTTGCTTGCTGAAAGTGAAGAGGACTTAAAAACCTTACTGCTGAAGATCAAAGACCACAGCCTTCAATAAGGGTTACACTTCTATGTAAAGAAAACAAAAATCCTCACAACTGTACCAATAAATATCATCATGATAAATGGAGAAAATATTGAAGTTGTCAAATACTTCATTAGCTTGGATCCATTATCAACAGTCATGAAAGCAGCAGTCAAGAAATCAAACATCGTATCCCATTAGGCAAATCTGCTGCACATGACCTCTTTAAAGTGTTCAAGAGCAAAGATGTCAGTTTGAGGACTAGGATGCACCTGACCCAAGCCATTGTTTTTCCAATAGCCACATATGCATGTGAAAGTTGGACAACGAATAAGGAAAACTGGAGAATTGATGCATTGAGTTATGGTGTTGGAGAAGAATATTAAAAGTACCATGAACTGTCAGAAGCACAAACAAATCTGTGTTGGAAGTGCTCTTTAGAAGCCAGGTTGGTGAGACTTTGTCTCTCATACTTGAGACATATTATGAGGAGGAACCAGTTTCTGGATAAGGGCATCATGCTTGGTAAAGTGGAGGGTCAGTGAAAAAGTGGAAGACCCCCAAAGAAATGGATTGACACAGTGGCAGCATCAATGGGCCCAAGCATAATAACAATTGTGAAGATGGTACAGAACTGGACAGAGTTTTGTTCAGGGTCACTGAGTCAAAGTGGACTTGACGGCACCTAACTACCACCACCACCACAATAACAACATGCTGATTCAACATATTGACTTTTTGAGGCACTGTCAAACTGTTTTTATAGCAGCAGTACCATTTTACTCCCATCTGCTATGGACAAGGATTCCTTCAATTCTTCCACATAATCTAACACTTTCTATTTCTATAATTTTTATAATAGCCATTCTGGTATTATTCTAGTGGGTATACAGTAATACCTTACTGTATTTGATTTGCATTTGTATTTGATTTGCATTTTTCTAATGAATCATCTATTGCTCTTTTGTAGAGACATAGTGCAGATATTTTATAAATTGCTTCAGTATTGCTTTTGCTTTTTTGTCTGCTGTTTTTTTGTGTGTTTTAAAAATTTTGTCTTCCACAATAAAAATTTATACTTATTATCTAGAGCAAATAATGAGCAGCTTAAAAAGAGATTTTAAATGTCCCTCTACAGATGAATGAACAAAAATATAGTATATACATACAGTGGAATATTATTTCATCATAAAGAGAAATTAAGTCCTGATATATGTTGCAACATGAAAGATCCTTGACAACATTATGCTGAGTGAAATAGGTCATAAAAAGACAAATACGTATGATCCCACTTATATGGAACAGGCAAATGTATAGAAACCAGATCTTGTTAGTGATTACCACTGGTAAAGGGGGGTCATTGCTTAGGGGAACACTGAATTCCTGTTAATATGGGTGAAATAATTTGGAAAGGATAATGGTAATGACTGTACAACATGATGCATGGAATTAATGGCATTGATTTATACATGTAAAAAATGTTGAATTGGCCAAAATTGTGCTATATATCATTTTTGCCACAATACATGATGGTTGATATGTGATTTCATGCCTTAAATAGAATTAAATATTGTTGAATAAATGAAGCTTTCTGTTAATATCAATAATCAGGAAAAAAATCCATGAATAGAAGATTCAAGGACATCTGGAGATAGTGCAGAGAAAACCATGATCATATATATGTATTCTTTAGTGCTAATAAAGTTAAGTTATAGGAAACCCCTGACAGGCTTCTACTTTGCTTTCATTTTGGGTTGAAGGTATATGTGTTACTGATACTGTCAAGGCAACAGTGTTCAAAGATGTCTTCCTGGAAATGAATATACCATATTCTGTTGTACGAGGGGAACAGATAGAATTGAAAGGGACTGTTTACAACTATAGGACTTCTGGGATGCTGGTAAGTATGTATTTATGGTGTGCTAGAATAAATGGGATAACAAACAGTAGAACGATCTGATTTTATGAGAATTCTATTAGTGGAATTATTGCATGCAAAAAGAAAGGTTTAACTCAATTCAGCATTATAAACGAGTCACTTGCAACAAGTATTATCCCATAACATTGTATTGGCACATAACCACAATCATTTGTTTGGGTATTGGCAATTGCAGAGATGAGTAATTGCAACAGAGGTCATGTGACATTTTCATTGATTTGCACAGCTGCTTGGAACATGACCAGTTATAATAACATGACTTCAACTCAATAGCATTTTAAGTGTTATCATGCATATTGCCATAACATGACACTTTATTTAATTTTTTATTATCAGTGCATTTCCATCCTGTTAGAATAAAGAAATAGGAACACCTGTGATCTCTCAGGATTTGTTGTTGTTAGATGCCATCAAGTTGGCACCTAACTGACTCATAGTGACCCTATGTACAAAAGAACCAAACACTGCCAGGTCCAGCGCCATCCTCACAATTGTTGTGTTATTCGAGCCCATTGTTGTTGCCTCGGTGTGTCAGTCCATCTTTTTGAGGGTTTTCCTCTACCTTTCTGATGACCCTCTACTTTACCAAGCATGACGTCCTTCTCCAGGGACCGATCCTTCCTGACAACATGACCAAATTATGAGAGACCAAATTCCACAATCCTCGCTCCCAAAGAACAATCTAGTTGTACTTCTTCCGAAATAGATTTGTTCATTCTTCTGGCAATCCATAGTACTTTCAGAATTCTTCACCAACACCATAGTTTAAATGCACAGCTTCTTCTCCAGTTCTTTATTCATTGCCCAACTTTCATATGCATATGAAGCAATTGAAAATATCATGGCTTGGATCCAGCAGGTGACATCTTTGCTGGCTAACACTTTTGTCTAATACAATACAATTTGATTTCTTGACTGCTGCTTCCATGAGTGTTAATTATGAATCCAAGTAAAATGAAATCTTTGACAACTTCAATCTTATCTTCATTTATCATGATATTATTTATTGGTTCAGTTGTGAGGATTTTCGTTTTCTTTACATTGCAATCCATACTAAATGCTGTAATCTCTGTTCTTCTTCAGTACGTGCTCGTGTCCTCTTTGTCTTCAGCAAACAAGGTTGTATCATCTGCATATGGCAGGTTGTTGATGACTCTTCCTCGAATCATAATGTCACATTCTTCTTCATATAATCCAGTTTTTCCAATTACTTGCTCAGCATATGGACTTAATGTTGTTGTTAAGTGCCGCTGATTCTGTTCCAACCCATAGCAACCCAGTATAGAGTTTCCAGGGAGCAGCTGGTGAGCTTCAACCGCCAACCTTGCAGTTCAAACCGACCTTGCACATTAATGCGACGTTGCGCATTAACCTACAGCACCACACGAGGACTCCATACAAACTGTATAACTATAGTGACCTCAGGATTAGTCCACAGTTAATTATCTTTCCTCTTGAGTATGTATCACTTTCCTATTTCATCTTATCTAGTAATTATGGATTGCACTTTCAACTTTACTAATGAAATGCTATAGAGACTCTGTTGCTATTATGTTCTCCTGAAGAGTGTTAGTTTTTGTTTGTGTATGTGTTTGTGTTTTAGTAGACAGTTAACTTGGTTTGCTGAATCCCATACTCTGAAATTTCCATTCAATTCAGTTCTTTAGCCTTTTCTAGGATGCATGGAGTCTGTGCTATGTATGTATAGTTCAGAGGTCAGGCAGATTTGAGCAAAGTTTATACCCAGAACATGGAGCGTCCTCTCTAAGCCTCTCTCCATTCTGAGATTTACTCCTTCACTTTTCAGCTATTGTGGTTGCCCCATATTCTGTCCTTTGATTCTTCAAATCAGTAAGACAGGAGGTTTCTAGTGGTGATCTAACCAATCCTCAAGGCATTAGTGGGACCTACCTGTAGACACAACGATCTCTGGTAGCATAGTGGTTACGAATCGGGCTGCGAACCACAAGGTCAGCAGTTCAAAACTACCAGCTGTTCCACGGGAGAAAGATGAGGCTTTCTGCTCCCGTAAAGATTTATGGCCTCAGAAACCCTGTACAGGGTTGCTATGAGTCGGAACCAACTCCACGGCACATAACAACAACAACAACCTGTAGACAAAAAAACTGTAAAAAGAATAAATTCACCCTGTTATTCCTTCTTTCAAGTGTCACCTTCCCTTCCATTCCCTAGTGGCTTTGTTGTTGTTGTTGTTGGTAAGTGCCATTGAGTCACTTCAGATTCATAGTGACCCTGTATAGGGTTTCTGAAGAGTAGCTGGTAAGTGTGAACCGCCTACCTTATGGTTCAAACCAACCTTGCAGTCCAGTGCTTTATCCCACAGTATATTTTATCCCACATATATTTTTGTCAAGAGTTTATAGTTAATGTTTGCAAAAGAGTTGTCCAATAAAAGCTACTTAGCTATGACTGAAAGCAGAACCACTGTCATGGTTTTATTTATTTTTTAATTGTGGGGAAATGATGTCCATTTTTATTAATGTTTCAGATGTTCCTTTCTAGTCCCAATTTACTGAGTTTCATATGAATCTATGTTTAATTTATCAAATTAGTCTTCTATATTCTCTATCTATCCTTCCCCATCCCATTTCTGCTATCTGGGGAGAATCACTGGCTTTGGGGAATACCCTAGACTTCACAAGCTTCTTTTGTTCCTGCCCCATCCACTCAGTAGGGGTTTTGTGTTTCCCAAGAAGATTGCTAAGTGGGAGTAGGAATTTTCCATCTTTGAAAAATTCCTCAAAATTAGTTTTTGAATGTTGGTACTGTTTCTTGCTTAATTTGGTCTGAATCTCATGGGTTTAGTCTTTTGGATACATACTCAATTCTGTCAGTTCAATACATTTTAGAGAGGAGATAAAAAAAATAGTCACTATCTGAGCCAGAAGTCAGTAGGTTGTATTATTATTCCCAATACAAAGATAAGGAAATGGAGAGTTGGAGTGGTCATGCAATCTTTCCTCATCACACCCACCTTTAGCACAAGATTTATACCCAGGTCTTGATGGTACCAGAGTTTAGCTCTAAAACAGGGTACAATTTGGAAATTAATGACAGATAAAATAGGAAAATTAATTTGGGGACATGTGGAACAGGTCCTTGAATGCCTAGTTATGGTGTATCTTTTCATAAAAATCTTTTATTGAGTATTGAACTAAAGATAAAAAGATGAAGAAGACACACAGAGCACCTGAGCCAGAGGCTCCCAGGGTCTGAAATACCAACATATCATGAGACAAATCACAAGCATGTTAAGAGAGTATAACCAGTGCCATCACAACAGTCTGAACAGAGAATGACAGAAACGCTGCATCTGATTAGTTAACAGTCTAAAGGTGGTCAGACATTTCTGAGCCAGTGCTGAGCTTTCTAGACATCCCTTCACACTGACAAGCTTTACAGCAACTTGTGGTTTTAAAAACATAAAAAATGAGCTTCTTCAAAGCCTTACTATCTAAGGTATTAACATATTAATCCAGTGGAGAGTTTGTGTCCAGATGAACATGGTGGTGCTTATCCTTGAGTTGATTCCAACTCGTTGCCATGTGTGCCACAGAACTGCTCCATAGGGTTATCTTGACTGTTATCATAACAGAAGAAGATTCCAGGGTTTTTCTTCCCTGGTATCACTGGGTGGGTTTGAACCACTAATCTTTAGGCTAACAGTCAAGTGCAAACTTGTCTCATCTTAGAGATAGAGTGTTTTGATGTAACTCTTCACTTGTGACATTTCAGTTCTGTGTTAAAATGGCTTCTCCTGAGAGCATCTGTACATTGGGAAACCCAAGCACTGATCATCAGGGTATAAGACCTTCCAGATGTCTGTCTCAGAGAGTAGAGGGCTCCTCCAATCACTTGGTGACCTTCATTGTGCTTCCTCTGGAAATAGGCCTCCACATTATCAACTTTACACTGGAGACTTCATTGGGAAGAGAAATCTTAGTAAAAACATTACGAGTCATGGTAAGAAAAACTTGCTTTTTTATAACACTCTTTTCATTCTGGGGTGGAAATGTAAATTACCAGCAGGAGGTCTAATGAACAAATTCAAAACCTTAGTTTGCATCCTGGCTTCAGCACTTTCTACCACAGTGTGACAACAGTGAAATTATTTAATCTCTTCGTGTGTCAGTTTCCTCATCTGTCAAACATTGGTGATAATAATACATACTTCTTAGGTTTGTTCTGAGGTTATATGAGCTAACATAGAGCGAGCATTTGCACCAATCACTTGGCACACAATAATGTCTATGGAGGTGTTTGTTCTTATTATACAGATAGCCAGAAATCATATTCTTACATGTATGTATGTATTTATACAAACTTGCCTTTCCCCATAAAGAGATTTTTTTTTAATTGGAAAAATTGTCAAGAAAAGTTGATCCAAGGAATCCAGCATATATAAATTTAAGTAACAATGTTTTCTGCTTTTATTTTAGCCAGAAGGTGTTAAAAGGGAAACTCATGCTGGCCTTACTCTGGACCCAAAGGGTATTTATGGTAGGCAAAATGATTTTACATTTTGTATGCTATATGTTTTCTATAAATTAATGTGCATATGTAAACTGAAAAACAATTTTTCAAAATGTTAGTTATCTAGAACCAGAAATTTCCATTTCCTAGTTCATTGTGGGAATCCTGGTATGGCACTGTAGGATAAGCACTAACAAGGTCAGCAGTTCAAACCCACCAGCTGCTTCTCCGAAATCCTATACAAGGTTGCTATGAGTCAGAACCAGCTCAGCATGACTTAACAACAACAACAAGTTCGTTGCTGGAGACCTAGTGTTATGCTGTAGTATAAGCACTGAATGGTTAACTTCAAGACTGGCAGTTCAAACCCATTAGCTACTCCTTGGAAACCCCATTTCTATGAGTCAGAACCAACTTGATAGCAATTAATGACAACAACAATAACAACAAGTTCATTGTCATTATTCATAGCATTTGTTGTACCCATATTTGGATGGTTTAGAACAAAGAAAAGTCATTCTATTAGTTTTAAAAGCAAATCATTGAAAAATTAATCATTGTATGACATTTCTTACATATAGGGTCACTATGAGTTGGCATCAGCTCAACAGCAATGGGTTTGGGGTTTTTATTTTATATTCTTCACAATAATAATTTATAATCATTTCCTTGTAAAACTATCAGCTTAGAGAACATTTAAGGAAAAGTCATTCACATAATTATTTAACATGCAGTACTTGACAGTTCTGATGTAATGCTATAGGATAATCACTGGACTGCTAACCACAAGATCGGTGGTTCAAATCCACCAGCCGCTCCTTGGTAAACTCTATGAGTTGGACCTGACTCAATGGCACTTAACAACAACAACAACAATTTGAAAACACAAAGGAACTGATTATTCACTTAACAAATAGTCCTTATCATCTCCTGTTTTTGCTTCAATTGAGATATTCTCAATCTTCTTGAAGTTATAATTTTGTAAACACTTTAAGTCCTGAATCAAGGCCTACATCTACATACAAGTGTATTTGTACACATTTATTATGTAATTTAGAACGTGCTCAGCTAATAAGAGGACCATCAAGGGAGAAGAGCAGAGTGCAGGTCCCTACCCAGAGAAACAGTGACACCAGAGACGGAGGCAGAGATGATGACATGGAGAGATGGAGCGGCTGGGGACTCTAGATCCAGAGAGGGAGAGGGGCTGTGTGCTGATGACCAGGGGGCAAGCTTGTAGTGTATACCCTTTGGTTGGTTGATGATGCATGGAGGGGATTGTAACCATGGCAATGAAACGATATACAATAGGATGAATGTAAAGCTAATATTCTCCCATGTAAACTATCACATAATTCACATTAAAAAAAGAAAAAAACGACCAGACTTACTGGTTAGATTGAGACTGGTAGAATCTCCAAGATTGTAACCTTTAGACCCTTTTCAAACCTGGAACTGAACTCACTTGGGGGATCACCTTTCAGTCAAATAAGAAACAAGCCTACAAGTGAACAATAATACCCTTGAGGAACTCGCTCCTCAGAACAATGAACCAGACAAGATAAAAAGAGCAGTGTTTGCTCCAAAACAAAGCCCAAAAGGCAAGAAAGGGCAGGAAAGAAGGACAAATGGGGATAGGGAATGGGGGAGGGGGGATTATCTGTTACATTGAAGGGGTTGTAGCTAATGTCACAAAACAAAATGTGTGACCATTAGTGAAGGGAAAACTCTGTCAACTTTCACCCAAACCACAATTTTATAAAAGATCACTTTGGGATTTATAAGAACCATCTGGGGATCTTATTAAAATGTAGATTTGAATTCAGTGTATCTGAGGTACAAATGCAAACTCCCAGTAGAGGGTCAAACCAGGATGGATCTGTTGAAAGCCCTGGTTAACAATTCTTTTCTTTTCAACAAAAGAAGTCAGACTGGTGTGGTTCTTCTCAAATGATTAAATTTTTTTCTTACTGTTCTGTCAAATCATTTTTCTTTCCTTTCAGTGGTGGTGTTGTTAAGTGCCGTTGAGTCAGTTCCAACTCAGAGAAACACTTTATAGAGTTTCCATGGAGCAGCTGGGGTTTTAACTGCTGACCTTGTGTATCCTACTGCACCACACCAGGATGTAACAATGGGGAAACACAAAACAAAACATTTACTTACAAATCCAGACCATATACTCAGGAGCTTTGATGGCACAATGGTTAAGCGCTCAGTTGCTAACCAAAAGGTCTGGGCTGTCTGGAGCTCCACAGGTGAAAAACTAGAGATCTGCTCCCATAAAGAATGATGTTGTTGTTTAGTGCCATTTAGTCAGTTCCGACCCGTAATGACCCTGTATAGGGTTTCCAAAGAGCGGCTGGTGGGTTTGAACTGCCAATCTTGAAGTCCAGTGCTTATCCTACAGTGTCACACCAGAGGTTAGGAAACCCTCTGGGACATTTCTACTCTGCCACAGAGTGTCGCTATGAATCAGAATTGATTCAACAACACACAATAACATCATACTTAGAGTCTTAGAGTGCCATTTCCTCTGGGAAAGCACAGAATTAAGACTTTGTAAAGGAGCTCGCTGTGGGTTAAAGCATCAGACTGCAAAGTCATTTGAACTGCAAGGTCGGTAGTTCAAGGTCACCAGCTGCTCCTTGGAAAACCTATACAGGGTTGCTATGGGTCAGAATCGACTCCACAGCACTTAACAACAGCAATAACAAAGGAGCTCTGGTAGGGTAGAGGTAATGAGTTGGGCTGTTAATCTCAAGGTCAGCAATTTGAAACTACCAGCTGTTCCATGGGAAAAAGAGGCTTTCTGCTCCCATGA